TTGCCCATGCTACAGCGATTAGCCCATTTATCCCCATCACACGGCCTTTTGCACGAACGATTATCACCCAGTCGACACCACATTGAATGTCGAGAATGGGAGAATTGCGAGATTTCATCTCTCTTTCCACCGCAACCCCTCTCTCCCCGGCCTCATCCCATTCCAAAATACACTTACTTTGACTCAGCCTCATCTCGGCCTATCGGGCTGCCCAAACAGCTTGGCAAATTGGGCCATGCGGGCACTAGTCTAATGTGGCCAGACCAATTTCCCAACTAACTTATATGGCATGACTATGCCTTGATGTCAGCGCACCCACTTGTTTTCATACCCACTGTGTACGTGTGTACGTGCTTGTATGCAGTAGGAAATGAGACTGACGCGGCATGACCTATGAAGGCGCCACTTGTATTCCGGATGTTGCATGTTCAAGGGACGAAGAACTGTTGGGATGCATTCGGCTGTTGAGACTACATTTGTGGATCACATATTCCTCCAGCAAAACTGGTATCGTAAGAATTCCGCGGTCACTTGAAACGATTTCACCTCAAGTAGCCGATGCATATCTTCTTCCACTGAGAGAAGAAGATTCGGTTGTGCACATGTGTACATGCATGAAAGACCGTAGGACAAGTAGACCTAGTGAAATGTGTGTACGCCTGCATAAGTGTGTCTGTCTGAGTGTAGCAACACTTTCTGGTGCTAATTGATGGGTTAATAATTTGTGTTTTCAGTTTTGGCGATAGTAATGGATAAATACGATTGGGAGATAAGAGATTGTTGGTATGAAAAACAGGTAAAGCTGCTGTTACATTGTCTATTGACAGTCCTGATAAAGGCCGGCTAATCGCCCTAACAACAGCCTTAATCCTGTCTTCATACTGTCTACTGCTTCATGTTCGACTGGTGCAACTCTACGCGGCCTACCACTTTTACAATTATTATCGTTTGCCACTTCTGTCGACTCTTCACCTTCGGATGATTGCACAAGTCGAGGTTAGAAGACGAATGTAACAAATTGAAAAAAATACTGCCATCTTATAACGCATGGTGCTACTGTGGAAAATAGATTTAGTTCAGGAATTTGCTGTCTAAAAATGCCACCTATAGCACTCAACCGACTACTTAATTGTTTACTTAATTGCAGTGTGAGTATTATGAAGTAGTAGTAGTAGTAGTAGAATCGACGGTATGCGGCTGTCGACAAGTGTTGTAGGCAT